CGTATGAATGGAGGATCCAAAGTAAAACAAACAAGTGTCGTCGGCGTAGAGCGTAAGGTGGCCGTGTAGTTTTAGTTCTTGAATATTATTTATGTAGATTAAAAAGAGCAAGGGCCCTAAAATAGATCCTTGCGGAACCCCACAAGTAACTGGCAGTGCGTCACTTTGATGTATATTGTCTAATTTAACTATTTGGGATCTATTTTCTAAATATGACTGTAAAATTTTGAAGGCATTCCCAGTAATATTCAACAATTCTAACTTTTTTAACAGGATTTTATGCGATACAGTATCGAATGCTTTTTTTAGGTCGATAAAAATACCTAGGACTATATTTTTGCTATCTATATTATGTTTTATTTTTGTTACAAGGTCGATAGTTGCTGAAAGTGTGCTACTTTTTGGTCTAAATCCATATTGTCTGTCAGATATAAAATTAAAAGAAGTTAAATGCTTTTCTAAACGGCTATACAAAATTCTTTCCAATATTTTTGATAGAACGGGTAGCACCGAGATCGGTCTATAGTTGCCGGGGTCTGATGTTGTACCGGATTTATGGATAGGTGTAACTTTTGCCATTTTTAGGGTATCAGGAAATTTTCCAGTGAACAGAAGTTTATTGAAGCATTTACTCAAGGCGCTAGCTATTAGATTTTTTATACTTTTTATTGCTTTAGTGTTTATACCATCTAATCCAGTACTGCAGTTGGAGTCGAGTTTCTCTATTATTTTAGAAATTTCAGCCTCAGAACACGGATATAGCTTAGATAAAACTGGAGTGTCACTAGGGGGATTACAAGGAAGAGCGCGAGAAGAGTTGTCATGGAAGTTTTTGGGTATGTTATTTGCTAATAGTGGGCCAATAGTAGCAAAGTAATTATTAAAAATTTTGCACATGTCATTTTCGTCAGTTACATATTTTGAATCCATAAGCAGTTTTGAAGGAGCACTAATTTGTTTGATCTTGTTATTCGCTAATACATTTACTAGGTTCCATATTCTTTTTGGCTTATTAATACAGTCATTAAATTTCATGTAGTAATATGAATCCTTTGTGTTTTGAATTTGTGCAAATACTTGTTGTTTCTTTTTAAAATATTCTGCTTTGAGGTTGTTGTTATGTGAGTTTTCTTTAAGTGTGGTCCAAAGCTTGTTTCTTTGATTGATGCTGTTTATTATATCTTTGTTTATCCAGTCGCTTTGTGGAGTATTTAGGATTTTTGTCTTAATTGTTTTGCTTCTGTCTATCATCATTTTTATTTTGCTTTCTAGTAGGGTGTAGTCGTCACTCAGTTCTTCAATATTTGCTGATTTCAGGAGGCTCTGTAGCTTTGTGTAATTTATCGCTTCGTATCGGGTTCTAATTTTTGGTGGAGATTTCGTTTTTTTTATTTCAACAAATATCTGTTTGTGATCGGACATTGATGAATCGATTATTGCCATATGAAAATTATCATTTTTAAGGTTAGAGCTGACATGGTCAAGTATAGATTTTCTAGTTTTTGAGTCTCTTGTGCAGAATTTTTTACTGATTTTATTTAGTAGTGTGTGTCCGGCTGCATTTACAAGTTGTTTGTATTGTTTTGTTTTGCTGTCTTTAGTTAAAAGGTCAATGTTGAAGTCCCCAAATACTATAGCTCGCTTCTTTTGTTGTAGTTGATCGTCATAAACTTGCAAGAAATCCTTAAAATTCGTATCACCGGGGTTGTACACTATACCCACATCTAGAGCGTATCTTTCTAAGCGAATCCATAAGTAATTGTTCCCTCCTTCATACTTGGACATTGATAAACTATGCCTCAAATCATTATGGACATACGCAGAGACTCCACCGCCTCTAGAGTCTGTCCTATAGTTGTAGTAGTGTGTGTAGTTGTTTATCTGTAGTTGCATGGCTTGAAATTCAGTGCTAATCCATGTTTCAGTCAGTAAAATAAGGTGTATCGTGTTAGGCAGAGACTGAAGAATACATTTAAGCTCATCAAGCTTTCCTTTTTTGCATATGCTACGGGCATTAAAGTAGAAAAATCTAAGACGTGATTTATTGGTTGTAACGTCATGGTAGTTGGTAATTACTTGATAGGTATTGCTTAACATATCTACAGTTTTATTGCCCGTGTTTAGTTTTTTGGCGTAGTTTTAACAATAGTAGGGGTGCCATTTACATATCTAATTGTGAGGTCATTCTCTCCTTCGTTTTGACGACGTGTTAGTTCATCCTTTACATTTTTTAGGTATTTTTGTTGAGCTGGAGTTTGGTCTGAGAATATTTTGATGTTTTCTGGCAATTTCTCTTTGTTACGGAGAAGGTGTTTGACTGGTGCTGAGGCATCAAAACACAACTTTACTCTGCGGACTTTGCCAGGCAGATATTTCCCTAATCGAAATATCCTAGTTGGTTTAGGGAGGTCAAGACCAACCGATGTAGTTATTTTTAGAAAATCGGCTTCATCCTTAGTTGCTCTCTCCACCGCACTCGTAGAAGATTGTTCAGTCATCCCCATTATAATAACGTTTTTTTCTCTACTATTGCGATCCAATACCTCTTTGATTATATGCTCATGCAGAGGAAGCTGTTTGTTATTTGATGTCAAGGAATCAGACGATATCTTTAGCGCGTGGACATTTGACTCGAGGGATTTGATTTTATCATTGCCTTGAGATAGTTGTGTTTGTAATTGTGACATGTGTGTTTGTAAGTCTTTCTGTTTGTTTGCCATACTGGACATGGATAATTTAATATCATTGATCTGTGTTGCATTTTCACGGATCAGGTGTGCAGTTTGTTCGTTAAATGATTTTAGCTCAGAAATATGTGACTTGACCTCAGACAAACTTTCTTGCATTTTATTCATAATCTGTTCATTAGATCCAACGTACTTTTCTAATAATGAACTGATTCGTACCAACTCCGACCTAATGTCCTTGATATCATTAGAGCATTCACATTCTTGTTCGGGTTGTTTTCTCTTTCGGAAAGTTATTTGTGAATCAACAGTAAGCGTACTTAACTTCGATAGATCAGGATGTGAACCACCGCCCATGTTTACGGCGCTGCCGGTTGACTGCCGGGGTGGCGATCTCTGTACACTCATAATAGTGTAGCAACAGTAGTCAGCGCAAGTTAATGTTATGTTGTACAGGCGCGCGTATGTAATAGGAACGAAGTTGTGTGGTGCTCTGTACAGCGTGTATATCGATGAACGCAGAGTCTCTGTGCGAGCGAGTCAAAAAATAGCAACTGTACTACTCACACGGGGGTGAAGCGAGGGCGAACGGGCGTCGCTGCGCACGGGCTGCCGGTCCTGACGGCGTAGGACACAGGAGCGTAATGTTGCAATTACAATACAGTTATTTTCACACTTTGAGTTATATAGTCATCAAAATATAGGTTATATTCGAATATAGGTTATATTGGCTAATTTTTAGTAAGCACTGACACACGTCTGACTTGTAGGAGCAACGACGAACTATCTACTCCTATCATTTGAATAATAAGTACTCCACTACCATGTACTTTTGTAAATAACTTGGCTTCGCACATTAAAATTTTCATCAAAAATTCTTTTTAAACAAATATGGTCAACGAAAGCATACCGTAGTTGAAACCTATTAAATGTTAAATTTAAATTATAAACTAATGGTCGGCACCTGCTACTCCTGAGACACAAGTGAATAGCCACCTTTTATACCCCTTCAGAATAAGGGAAGGAGAGAGGAGATGTGCCTCCCTTAATGTCGCTTAAACTCAGTAAAAAGCAACTAAAGTACTGCTTAATAACGGTTTTCAGCAGGCCCATTGGCGTGACTCTTACACGGTTTAAGTGGTCACCGCCGTTTCTTACTGCGCTGAGTGTTGTGGGTTCGATCTCCACATGGGACAACACTTTGTGTGATCTACAAATTCTGAGTTCTGTTATTCTGAGTCTGGGTGTTCTTTGTTTCCGTGTTACAAATGTTTGTAAAGTACCCCGCGACACAGAATATATTCCTAGTGCGGGAGTTGTCTTTTGAAAACTTGACAGCTATCACTGCTATAACTTACATCACGTTCTTTTTTAATTATACTTGCAAATTGTTTTAAATGTGTTAAGTATGTATGTTTCTTTTACCTTTACTTATGTCATAATTATCTTACTTAACACCTACATTGGAATACTTTGTCAGTACTGGTATTGCGACACAAATGCAGTCATTACTTCTTTAATAAGATGTTAAGAAAAGTATCTTTATTCAGTACCATTCGTCTGGTTGTTACTCCATTCCAATAGCTTATCGGTGATAATTGAAGGAATACTAAGTTGACATAATAATAAAACTCTTTTGAAGTAAAACTTCTTTACGCGCGCACTTGGGGAGTAAGCTGGTGAATGCGTGACGAGAGCGCTATGAAAAGTGTGATGGGGCGAGGCGAACGGAAGTTGAGAGGGGGATATAAGTTAGTGAAGATAGAAAGAGATATATTACTGTAGAAGCAAGAGAGAGAGGTGCGAACACACATTTTCTTTCTCTCATAGCCAAGAAGTTTTAACTTTTTTACTTTTTTACACACACGTCCTCCGTTTTCCAAACGGAACGGAAGAAACGAAAACGAAAAAAAAAAAACTAGTCTAGTGCTCTAGTGGTTATTAGATTATCAGGCCAGCCATGTTTAGTTTTTTTTCTTTTGCTTAACAGGTAGTAGGAAGTTTTACAGTGAACTCAATTTCGCTTAAGAAAATATTTAAAAGGGGGTCGAGACGAATATTGTACATTGAGTTCTATCTAAACAGTTTAATCTAGTTAATTCTATAACATTTACTTAATAATCTGAATATTTTAGTCCGTAGACGGTCAGTTCCGTATTAATATTTACCTACCTCGAAACCATTTCGAAATTATAATATTTTTGTTTTATTTGTAACAACTTTCCTCTCACACATTTCTGCAAGTGGTTTCTTTTAAAGGGACGGAAGTCTGGAACAGGAAGCCGTAGTAGTACTCGCTATTTGATTTGACCAATGTGCACGCGTGATGGTACAGTTGGACATAGAAGGTGAGATGTTACATTATTATACTGGCTTTAACCCGCGGCTCCGTGTATGTCGGTTATCGCATTAAATAGTAACTTACGAGTATATATTTCCTTAAAAATCAAACTATCTCCATACCAAATTTCATCTAAATCGGTACAGCGGTTATTGATTCTCCATACAAACTTCCACCCCCTTTTTACCCCCCTTAAAGGATGATTTCTGGGATATGTCCTTTCCTGGGACTCAAACTATCTCTATACCAAATTTCATCTTAATCGGCTCCGCCGTTGTGATCTATCAAGATTTAGTGATGAGCTGATAGGCAGGGGGAAGCCTCTGGTTTCCCCTGAGTTAGGGCCTAGTTAGGTGCGGCGTCGATATGGAGGAGAGCCAAAATCACATGGCCCGGGTTCTCCCAAGAGTAGGGCGCCTAAGGCTGGCCGTCTGGGTAGTTTTTAGTGGAAACACTACTCTAAGCAGTCAAGGTCACCAACCACTTCTACTGCTTCCAGAAGTCTAGACCATAATCATAGTCGTTAGGTAATATCTTAGGTTTCTCTTTTTCCTAATTTGGTATTCAAATTGAACTGCGGTTAAATTAAGTATTTGTTTAAAGATAATTTACCTTCAGTAGTTATTCTACCTAGGCTGCGCTTTCTATTCAATAAAATTATGTAAAGTTATCTTTAAGTAAGAACTTTCTTATTATTTAAATGTTTAATAATATTGCAATTTACCTATACTGCAATCGATTGAAGCGGTAATTTTAGGTAAAATATTAATAATGGTAATTTTACGGATATGCTTCAACGGTTCAAAATTTTTAAATATTCATCAAAGTAGGTATTCTGAGGTCAGGTTTTTCGTCACCGTGTGTGTAGCCACAACACCAGTTTGACAGGCCGTAGGCCTGGAAGTCACCCCAGAGACACTAGCAGAGGTCTACGTGAAGAACCACTGAAGGATATTAAGGGTACTAACAGCCCAAGGGTTGGTTTTGTGAGGGTATAAATGTACTAAGCAGTTCAGTTTTTCCACGACAGATGGCGTAAAACATATTTTTATTACGTGTAGATGGCGCTATGGCTTACCTTCACTGACTACTTGGTTTATTTACCAAAATACTTTTTCTCCTAACTGTTTTAGTTTTTGAGCTAGCAATGATAGTGATTACAAATGTTTATTTCTTTCCATAAATTGGCTTTATTAATCCTTTCTGATTATTTGAGAGATGGCAATGTAGTTTGTTAGGTGGTAATGCCGTTGTTGAACATTCTGGAGGGGCAGGAGGGGGTCACACAAAGGGCATTTGTGTCTCTTGAGCTGCACGTGTCCGTGGAAGGCGGTAGTCACTTACCACCAGGGCCTCAATTCTGCTATTCGATGTTAACGTACAAGCCACTGTCAATATATCGGTATTCTACTAACATAAATTAAGTGTCAATAGACTGTCGATGTAGTGACAATGGCTCATCGATGGCGATATTAACAACATTGCCATATCTGGAAAATTAAATATATCATTTTCTTACAAATTTAAATTGTACCGTTTACCAAACTATTACAAAGACATTTGTATAAGTGACAAGTCATCGGGATTGGTCTTACATGGCCATTGGTCTTACATCGATAGTAGCATACAAAAAGTGTAAAACTATATATTGCAGAATTGAGGTCCAGATGAACCGTTCGCTCGTTCGCCGGCTATTCTAGAGAGCATCATATTTGATGTGTTATGCAAGTGCATTAGGTATATGTAAATATTCAATGTAATGGCTTTGTTTCTTTATTTTATCGACAACTTAAGGTTAACTGTATTTTTCATTCTATTAATTGGTTTCTTTTTAACTGGTTAACGTAAGAATCATTGGAGTTTTGCAACAAAACGCATCGTTACTAACATCTGACATATGCACACATATTATTTATAATTTTATGCCTCTATTAAATTAATATTCATTACCTACTACCAATGCTTAATTTAATTTATTCAAATTCTTAAATAATTTCAAAAGCTTCTTCTGTAATCTAGTTTTAGTATTATGAATACATCAATAAAAAGTAACATGTTGTTCATTTAACATTTCGCAAAACTTTGCGCAAAGGTTGATTATAACTTTCGATATATAAATATTAGCGTAATATTGAAACTAATACTTCGCTCCGAACACAAGTTGTGTTACAGCAAAATGTAGAAACTAAGTCATGCATTTTATGTTAGTATATCCTTTAAGTGTTAACTGTTATTCGTTTGTAGAATACACATTTCCTATCCAACTATCGTCAGGGATAATAAAACACACTCTTCAATTACATTACACTTATACTACTAAACGAATTCTACCTTCATAGCATAGATAATTTGCAGGATCATCAACTTACAAACAAAAATAGTAGGTATAAACTATAATTTTTAATAACATTCGCCCGTTATACTAATCTACTAACAGTAATCACCTACGTTTGAAAGCTCTTACATATAATGGCGATATGGTTTTGTATCGTGGAAATCTAACGTAAAAGTTCCTGCACGACAAGTTTTTTTATTTCTATATTTGAATTATTCTGATAAAAAACATAAACTGCCATAAAAGGTTTTTTTGTAGTTAAATATTAATAAGATTAGCAGATTACCGATTCAATTTTTAGTCACAATACGATATAATCACATTACAGTCAACGTTGGATGTTTAATACTTTAGTAGGAAAATATCTTTTGTTGTGGAACTGAATTTTGACCGAACTTTTATTACGAGAATTGGCCTTCTGCTCGCCGGTTAGCTAGAAGAAAAATTTGTAAAAAAAATTGGGGTAAAATTTTTTCTTTGCTGTCAAAATTTTATTTTTGAGCTTGTTGTCAATTAAACGACAAGTCAGAAATGTGTTACTGTTGCTTTTACAACATCCCAGGATTTTTATTCTAAGCTCAGTAATATCTATCAAAGACTAAATAGAAAATGATGGATTAGTGATGTGCCGGATATCCGTATCCGTATCCGTATCCGCGGATATCCAAGGGAGAAGAGAGATCCGTAACCGTATCCGTATCCGTGACTTTTTTGGCGGATCTTTCAATACATATTACATAGATGAAATTCTATATAGGTGATTTTGTATTCACTGTAAAACTCTTAGGTATATGTTTGTAACACTATAAACAGCAACTTTTTTTCTGGCCACCGTCAAAATGAAAAAAAATTGGTTCTCCATTCAAATGACCAATCAAATGTTGTTAGTTTGTATGGAGAAACAATTTTTTTTCTTTCGTTTTCGGTGTTAGTCCAGAAGAAAAGTTGTTGATTATAATGTTACTAATATGCACTTCAGAGGTTTTCAGTAAATTTAAAATAACCCTGAATAATATTTATTAGGTAGCTATGAAAAACTATTGAATTCTGTTCAGATTACTTTTTATTTCTTAAAACAAATATTTGGCACCTTTGTATTGCAATCATTTATCGTACTACACTAAATCAACTAGGCAGTTCGTAGGTACTGAAAGAGCTATCTTTATAATGAGATCAATCAAACATCTTTGTATTAGCTTATTAAAATAATGAAATATTTAAATATCAACGGCAAATCGTCAAGTGGCGACAACTATCAAGGTCACGGGCTCCGATTGAGTAAGAAACTTAAGATCCGTATCCGTATCCGTATCCGCGGATCTTGACACCAAATATCCGTATTCGTATCCGTATCCGCGGATATACTTTGTTAACGATCCGGCACATCACTATGATGGATTTAAAAAATAAAATTAATTTAAAGGAATTTAAATTGATGCTGTCTAGTGAAATATTGATAGCTCAAATTAATGTTTTAGTTTAGTTTTCTAGACGTTTTTTAATTAGCTAATTCATTTTGATATAATTCTACTATTCGTGTATATGTCAAGGTATCCAACAAACATTTTAAATTATGATTTTGTAATCTTCGATGATTTGTGATTAAAAATTTATATTAAAATATAATGTAAGAATAATATTAAAAAGTCTTTTTAACCTGAAGTACACTTAGCTTTGTTTGAAAACCATAATGAAGTGACTGTATAAATATGTAACAAGATGTTTATGTGTTTTTTTTTTAATAAAATACATGTCCCGCACTGGGAATATTCCCTGTGTTGCGGGGGACTTTACAAACATACATGAAACGGACACAAAGAATACCCAGACTCGGCACAACAGTTTGTGGAACACACAAAGTGTCTTCCTATGTGGGGTTTGAACCAACAACACTCGGCGTAGTAGGAACCGGCGCGGCGACCGCTTAAACCACTAAGCCATTCGTACAGTCAAGTCAAGTTTAGCATATTGCTTATGCTAAATATGCGTAATATGCGTAAAAGAGAAAACACAATAATTGTAAAAGTTATTATTCTAAGTACATCATCATCGTTAACAGCCTTTAAATAGTTCACTGCTGGACATAGGCCTCTCCTTAGAAATAGGTTTTGGCCTAATAGGTATACCACGCTGGTCAAACGGGTTGGTATAGGGTTTGTGTTAAGGTTTCCTTCTCTTTTCAGTGCTGTTCTCTTGCTCTTTTAGTCGGCTCTTACGACACCCACGAGTATCTACCATACGGAGTACAAGTTATCACTGATCCATCGTCTTCTAAATTTTTAAATAACAAAATGTTGGAAGTGTACTTTCAGATAATATCCCACGATACTTTATCTCTTAAACCAACACGAATATCGATGGCATCACTAATTACAGTAAATAACATTTTAACAATGGATGGTGCTTTTTAAACAAGATGTTTATCACGTCTTTGCCTGCTTCCGGACATGCACCGTGTGACCGCAAATAAGTTAATAATAACACGAGTTAACATTATTTTCTCACTTATTATATAATTTTTACACTTTATGAGTACTCACTTTATTATACGCGGAAATGTTATAGTAATGGACATTGCTGTTTTTACGACGTTTAAACTATTAAACAAATTGCGTCTCTAAAGTTAGAATTTTATTGTAAAAATAAAATTCATTTACTTTTTTGACAAATTGTAATTTGCTATTAATGATGCCATCTAGTGACAAGCTTAACAAACTTTTAACCTTTACAAAATTTACACTCAAGTCTTACTAATAGTTGCAATAATTTGTTGAAAGATGGCGCAATTATAATTTTTTACAAAACAATATTATGAATTCATTTTATAAATTTAAGATCATGTTAAAATCTCTTTCATTAAATTAATTAACTTAGCCTTGATTTTTAGTTACTATTCATTTAATTTTATTAATATTTATGAGAATTAGCAGTTACGGTGAAAACAGTCTGAAGCATCAACTTCAGTAGTACATACAAAAATCGATAGATAACGCTTTTCTCATTAAATTTTCTCATTTCAATTTGCATTCGTTCTATTTAGAATTTTGGTTCAGTGACAAATTGATAACATTGTAAGAAAATAAGTAGGTAATATTAAAAATAATTCCTTTTTATAAAATACTAGTCATACCCTGCCAGTTGTGTAGAAGTTTTTGTGTATTTGAAGCGTACACAAATCAAATCAATCACAAAAATTTACCGGACTGCCAAGAAATAATTATGTTTATATACATTTAGGTTCTAAGTCCTGAAGCAGAACCAATATAGCACTGTTCCTAGTTCCTACAATACATAGATTTATTTTTCATAACAACATAAAAAATTTTTATCCCTAAAAAAGACATCTCCCGCACTGGGAATATATCCTGTGCCACGGAGGACTTAACAAAACATACATGAAACGGACAAAAATAACACCCAGACTCAGAACATCAATTTGTGGATCATACAAAGTGATGTCCCATGTAGGGATCGAACCCACAACACTTTAGTAGCAACAGTAGGAAGCGGCGAGATGACCGCTTAAAGTGCAGTTAATTAGAATTAAAATATGTAGGTACATAAAATACGATTTAGAACTACATACATATTTTATTTAATGTGGGAGCTTAGTACGCCTCTATTTACCTCTTCGGTATGTCGCCTCTCTATACCTGTTCGTCTCCTAAAGGTTTTAGCGTTAATTTTATGTGATGTAAGGCATCCTCAAATAAATGTAATACAAAAATAATACCTCATCTCTGTTTCATAGTGGGATTAGTGCAAGCTAAGAAGCAATGAAATAAAATCATACCTTTTTTTTATTTGTTTTAATGGTGTTGCGGGGCTAAGACTAAATAAATAAATAAATGAATAAAACCCCCCCTCCACTGATTCTGGCGAGAAAGCTTATTTCTAGAGAGAAAGAAAAATTCGTGCACAGCAGTCTGATCCTCAACTAGGTAGAGCATGTACAAGGGAAACTGACTGCTGATAAACAAACTTATAGATTTCTAAACAAACTTACGTATTAAGGTAAAATACATCCTTGGGAATCGAACCCATGACCTCTAACTCAACAGCAGTCACGATCACTAGCAACTACACCAACGTACCATTTAATGTAACATAAAGGTTTTAAAAAAATATGTTTGAACTTACATACATTTAACTCTGTTCACAGGAAAAACTTGAGCCTCCAGCCAGTGGACCGCGAGGAGGACGCCCACCTGTTCACGTATCGGGACGTAAACAGAACCCACGTGTCTGTAGTGCTGGCTCAGAGCGTCGATGAGTTGGTCGACAGCGACTCTCCACAGAACGTTGTGAAGTTCCGACTTGGATGCGACTTCGATTCAGGAGATGATCTTGTAAGTTCGAAATCAATAGATAAATTTATAAGTGCAAATTATTACATAATACCATTTAGAGGTAAATACATTATTAGATAAATATGTAAATGGACATTAAATCTCCAATTTATAAGCATTGGTATTTATTCATGAATAATATATTAGCACCTTGAAGCCATGACCCCTGATGAGACATTTCACACGTCTCCTTCCTCATAGTTATATTCGTTACATAAAACCCGTTATGCATGTGGTGACGGATTAGAAATACGGAGTGCCACCACTATTCATCCCAACGTCGTAAGAGCCAACTAAGAGAGCAAACTAAACAGGACAACAGCACTGCAAAGAGAAGGAAAACTTTAAACAAACCCTATAATACCAACCCGTCTGGCCTGCGGGGTATAGTAGGCAAAAACCTCTTTCTATGGAGAGGACTATGCCCATTCTATTTGTATTGGACTATTTAAGGCTGTTGATGTGATATGACATATAACCAAGAGAAGGGAGATCGGGATATCATGCTTATAGTTTGCCTTGTTTGAGTACAAAACAAAGTAATGTCCATTCTTTAATTTTTAATTTCCTTACAGCAAAATTAATCGAAACTTCGTAAGTAATTTTTAATTTCCTTTTTATATTTTCAAGGTTAAAAATTAATAAGATACAAGAAGATGCAAGCGATCAATTTCATTGAGATATTAGAAACAAAATTACGAGAGATTTACGCCCTACTTTAAATTCAAATCCAAAGTTGCAAGGATTTTCATAAGATTTGCAGTCTGATCACAAACATAATATATGCGTGGAAAACGAACAATAGTAACCTTTATATTCTTTGGTGTAAAGATTGTTTAGGCTGTAAACATAAATGTTTGTAAAACAATTCGGCAGAAAGTTCAGAGCCAGTCACCTCTGATAGCCGTTCGTCCTTCACCCAGTTACTGGATCATTTCCAGTATTTTTAAAAACCCAAGGGATCGTGAGCCATGCTTAATTTGTCCACAGAATATAATACCATATTTAATCTTATACCGCGTTCAGGAATTCATCTGGGATCGTTAAAGGGTTGTGTTTATTTAACTGTTCCTGTTGATTATGCTCCGTTGTTAGGGGTTTGTCCTACTTTATTCTGGGGCGAGACATGTTAATATATTTTGTTTCTAAAATACCTATATTTTTTTGCAAATATACTTTATAATGTAAAAATTCGATGGATATACATTTTTAATATAGATAAAGGTAACTTGGCTTCTAGACAGCGCTATCTACATGATTCATGAACCAGGTTTAAGTTAGACCTGAAGTCATACAATTAAGAAGCATTCGAATTCTTGATGTAGTTTTTATGTGATACGTGTCCAAACATACAGACAAACAGCCAGAGAAATCAATGATGATTGCCTTTACTATTTTAGTACTTAGATTGTGATATACGGTTGCCATAAGAATATCTGTGGCAATCGTTACGGAAGGCTGGAGCCGTAAAAGTCCGACAACCGTCTATCTGCAGAACCTCGATGTCGCCTATTATGTCGCGACTTGGGTTCTGGAGTATGATGGCAGTTAATCGTAAAAAAATTCGAAGTTCAGCTGTATCGCAGTAGACTTAAAATCGATCCAAACCTAGTTAGGCAAAAAAGATGAATTGTCATAAAATGTATTCTTCGTTTCTTAATTTTTTATTCTTAGGATTATTACTTTTTATTTGAATTTACTTGAAAAGAAGCAGTAAGTACACTATCCCAAATAAAAGAAAAAAAAAAAAAATCGGTTTATAAATGGCGAAGTTGTGAGCAGTTTGATTTTTTAAAACGAAAGATCATGTTCCTAATTCGGTCGATTTTTTTGTTTGCTAATCGACCGAATTTTGAACAAACCAATGTTTAGTTTACACTATATTTTTAATTATTCTTTCTACCCGCATTCTTTCAAAACACACCTCTTTATAATTTAGTTAATTACATTCACATCTCCTAATTTGCTCTCAATTTACGTTAAAACGTTCATCAAAGGAACCACCCTTTATGTGTTTAGTTCAATGACATTACGAATTTTTATGTTTGGCGTAAAAATAGACGTAAAGAGTGTTTAACAAGGGTCTTTGTGCGGGAAAGGCACATTTAGGTTCCACGTCCAACGTTATAATTCTTGAATATTTTTATATGTGCTCTATTGTAGATTTTTATAGACCATTAATGCCTGCGGTGTAGGTTTCAGATGTATTTTCCGAAAAGTCGTTAAATCTGTAGTACTTACATGAAATAATATTCAGATAGTTTGCATCAAAGGAACATTGTCTTGTTTTGAAAGGATCATTGAATTCGTGGCATTTTATAGGACCTTTACTAATACAAAAAATGTGAATATGAGTTTTTGTGAGATTCATCACTTATAGAGCTATTTTATGAAAAGAGAAGTTGGAAAAGTAACATTAAATTTTATTCGCAGTGTTAGTCACCTTTTACAAGAGATAATTGGCCTCAATTTAATACAATCCAGCGTAACATACCATCTGCAATTACTAAACAAAACAGAATTACCTGGAACACATAATTAGGCCTTTGAAACAGATGTATTCTTATTTCTCACAATTCAAACATACCTTTAAAATTGGTTCATTTGAAATTAATCACTTTGATTTTGAATATTTTTAAGGAGCCGTAGCCGAGCATATCTTTAGACACTTAATGCAACAAGCAATAAATTATTTATTGGTGATCAAATACTATACAATTCCTAGTAGTTATAAAAAAATATTCTTAACCTAATATTAAATGATATTTCGAGATTTTAAGTAAAGCTTATAAAGTATGTGTTATGTGTTCGCAGATATCAGCATACTTGTCGGTGACAGTGTACATAGAAGACGTGAACGACAATGTACCCAAGTTCCAGGACACGCCATATCATGTCGCCGTGGATGAATTAACACCTGCAGGTGAGGCAGAAGTGTTTCTCAATGATAGAAGTCCGATTTAACCAACTTCGTTTCTAGATATACTCTCCTTAGCAAAATGGAAGCCAAAATGAAGTACAAATAGACATACACCTTTTTAAACATGGTAGCACCAGGGCCATAAAATATTGTAGGTCCTAAGTGAGCTATATTGGATTTCTATAATATTTACGACAGAATCGCCTAAACGTACGGCAATTTACTCTAGATGACACAAGGTCCCCATAGTAGGGAGATCTTTCAGGCTAAACATAATATAATATAATAATATATTCTACCACATACACACAACGCCATCTAGTCCCAAACTAAGCAGAGCTTTTACTATGGGTACTAGACAACTGATATAAATCCATATATACTTTTTTTTTTGTAAATACATACATATTATACATAGAAACACCCAGACCAAATCAAACATCAAATGTTCATGCACACAAATGTTTGACCTGAGCGGGAATCGAACCCGCGACCTTTGGAATAGCAGTCCGTTACACAAACCACTACAACATCCAGTCGTCAAAATAAGAATAAATAAGATAAAGTCTTTTAATAATTTCATAGTTTCATTCATTTTGACTATGGGAGAGCCAAGCTTAGCAATACGTGGGCTAGCTCAACCGGAGTGATACTTCAGACTCACAGAAAAGTGGTGTGTGGTAATTCCTTCATAACTTTTTACCGAACAAGTGACCCGATACTATATAAATGCAAAATAGATTTAGTTTATAATAATAATAATCATTATCGTCATTTATTTCCTACCCTATGTTCTACCACATTACGCGGTGTACAAATAATTACCTATACAATATAATAATATATCTCAGACTGTCCGTATGGTGACGGATTAAGAATACGGTATGTCACCATCCCTATTCATCCCGTGGGTGTCGTAAGAGCCGACTAAGGGAACAAACTACGCAGGACAACAGCACTGCAAAGAGAAGGTAAACTTGCAACAAACCCTATACCAACCCGTCTGGCCAGCGTGGTATAGTAGGCCAAAACCTCCTTTCTAAGGAGAGGCCTATGTCCAGCAGTGGACTATTATAGGCTGTTGATGATGATGATGATGATATCTCAGACATCTTACACACGGAAGTCTGATCCCAAACTAGGTAGAGCTTGTACTATGGTAACCAGACAGTTGATAGACATACTTATATATTTTTAAACAGATACTTATTATAGTTAAATTACACCCAGACACAGAACAAATCGCCGTGCTCATCACACAATATTTGTCCTGGGTGGGAATCAAATCCACGACCTCCGATTTAGCAGTCAGGATCACTAACCACTAGACCAACATTATACATACAGAAATGCCATAAATTAATTAAATTGAATACAGTTAAATTATCAAAATATGTCAATAGATATCAGCGCGTTACTAATACGTGTCAGAAAAAAGAGTTTTAATTTGTCAGAAATATAGATTAAAAACGTGTGCATCTCAGACGCCCGACCGAAGTGACTTAAACTAATCTAAGTTGAACTATTTAATATTGAAATTGCTTAACTTGAGAAAAGCTTAAGTTATTACTTAAATTTTATGTAAAGCGAGGAGAGCGCGAGGAGGAGCCTGCCTACCGCTGCCGTATGCTTTAAAGAAAGGGAAGTCAGACCGGCACCGTAACGCGTTACGTAACGAAGCGGTTTACCCTCCCATAAGAAGTTATCACTTCAAAATTATCAAGATAGTAACAATAGATAAAATAATAATATGTTGTTATGTCAATTTATCATTTAGGGAATCTTCAATAGAATAGTAAGCTTTATTTATAGCTTTATTAATTTTTTTACAAGCGAAACATAGAAGGAATAAGATGAATGCTTTTAATAATTTATTACTCTTCAGAAGTGAAACACAGTGGTAGCTGAATTTATTTAAAGTCTTTATATCAACAGGGCTATAAAATATTCATACAAGGGAAGTTTACGCGTTTTTCGCGATATTAATAAAGTTCAAAAGCATCGTTGTCTGCGGACTTATACTGAAACATTTTATTCTATCATTGATCCCAAAGACCAGCAAATTTGTTTTGGCGTTAGTATAGATTTATTAACAATTTTTGAATTTCGGAACTGCTTAAATTGTTTTGTTGTAAGAAATTTCTCAGAATATGTACTTACTATTATTCAATGAATAAGATGTTTTGAGATGATGATGTTGTATATTTTCAAAGCATATCAAATGAGTTTTATAAAGCAAAAAAGCATTTTCAAAGCATATCAAATGAGATTTAAATTTTGTAAGGATTTTAGAAAAATATTCTGCGTTTGTCAAACGATTTGGTAATATTACTCGTCTTTTATAAATAGAGATATCGATTTTTTGAAGTTTTAGGTTCGACAGAAGACTGATATTGCATCAAACTTGTGTATAAATAATACAATACTATAACAAGTTCCTTTTCATGAAGTAAGTGCCTCGTGAGTTGCAGGTGTAAAATAATCTGTTATAAAAGTAAATTTACATAAAGAATTTTCAGAAAAAATAGTAACTCTGTTTTCATTACACATCAACAGCCTTTACTAGTCCACTGCTGGACATAGGTCTTTCCTTAGAAAGGAGGTTTTGGCCTACTATACTACGCTGGCCAGACGGGTTGGTATAGGGTTTGTTTTAAGTTTTCCTTCTCTCTGCAGTGGTGTTCGCCTGCGTAGTTTTTTCCCTTAGTCGCCTCTTACGACACCCACGGGATGAATAGGGGTGGTGACACTCTGTATTCTTAATCCGTCACCACACGAACTCTATAATTAATTTATTTAAATTTTTAAAACTTAAAATTTTATCTTTACAGGTCTTACAATCTTCAAGAGTATCCGCGCATTTGATCGCGACAAGCCTAACACACCCAATTCTGATGTCCAGTACAGCATTATCGCGGGAGATGCTGATGGTCACTTTGCTCTAGAAAGTTCACACAAACCGGCTTTAGTGTTGAAAAAGCCCTTGGATTACGATACTGGGGATAAAGAGTTCTTGCTCGTCGTTACTGCTTCGGTGAGTAAAAAATGTGAAAATGCCACTTAAAGCTACTAAGTAAAAACTATTTAAAAAAAACAGTAACAGTTTGGCTGCATTATCAGGTCAATATTACTATATCATGGTAATATCACCAAAGTAACTGTACACCAAATTTCAAGTCAATAGCAATTGTTTGAGTTAGTGAGATCTTTCATCAACTAAGAAATGAGCTGATGATATTAACAAATTACTAAGAACCACCTCGATCACGTCAGCCTAAAAAAGGTACGTAATAATCAGCCCATTCGTTTAGGAGCTATGATGCCAGAGACAGACACACATACACGTCAAACATCGGGGTTTACAAATAAGAATGAGAAGGTATCTTGCATGCTATGCCGTCTATACAATACCAACTCTCTCAACAGAGATGTGGGCCTTGCTTGGTCCTCCAAGGCTCTAATATTTAATATTCCACAACCACGAGGTGCAGCAGTATACAGCAATTGCTTCTCTTCTACGCGAAGCACCATCAGCAATATTCATTCTTCTCATCTGCTATTTAACTGTAAATTTTTGATATCGAATTAATTAATTCTAAAAAAGAAATTTTTTTAATACACATGGTTATTGATTCTAACTTTAAACTTACAGTCTTTTACAACTTCCCTACTTACCTCAACTTTACCTAGTGTAGAAACTAACTACGTGTACTAAATGATAATGATTTAGACTATGTCTAAATATAAATGGACAAACATAATAAACACATTTAAATTTATACTCTATTTGTAATGAATAGAGTGACAATATCCTCTGAATTGTTCGCACAAACAATTATCCGGTACACTAAACTGCTAGTTGGTAAACTTGTAATTAATCTATCACAAACTTTGATTACAATGATGAGGTCTAATTTATATAGTAGAAACTTCTAGACTCAAGATAGATGAAATCGACGATATACCTAAAGGAATACCTGAGACGTAATCGAAAATGTTTGTCCTCTAAACAGTCTCACATTTTACTTACAAAGTTATAATTGAATTCGATACTTAAAAAAATATAAATCATCGATTACCATCAGATCTATGAGCCATTTCAGTGTCAGGAATGATAGTAAGTTACTAATGTCAATAACAGAACAAAAACTCTAAACAATCACAATCACACAATTCACAATAAAATAATCAGAGGCTTAAAAAATATTCCTGCTATTTTCCTGCCTCAATTAGTTTAACAGGTATTCTCTTTTTAGTTTAACTTTCTGAACTTCTTCTAAATACTCGTACAATCTTGAAGTATACGAGTATAAAACTCACATTTGTCATTACGCGAGCACGAACTCGTCTAGAGCTTGCTTGGTGGTTAAAATGCCACTGTTTTCAATGTCTTATTTAATTTTATTCACCAGTATAACTTGAACTTCCATAATAAATAAATATACACTTATATATCTTGATCATAATTATTATTATGTAGTCGTTTAAAACCTATTTTTGGATTGTTTTAATTTAATTTGTTTATTTAACAGGATCGTGGGTCTCCGCCTCGCAGCACCAACGCTACCGTTCACATCACCGTGCTGGACAATGATGACCTACCCCCTAAGTTTACATCAGACTTATACAGGACACAAATTCCTGAGTTTTATCCTCTCTTGGTAAATGCATTTTTATTAATTTATACCCCATGACATTGTAATAAAATAAAATAAATACATTCCAAGATATACGACTTTTTAGGGTCGTGTTTAATATCCATTCTCTTTATGACTCTACCTATGATTAGGAATACCCTATAACTTTAATATTTTAAATCAACTTTTATTTTTTCATATTCCTCCCTTCTGTTTATCAGCCGCTTTCAACCATTTTAATGTCAGATTTCACCAAAGAGATTTCTCCCTGCAGTTTTCTTGTCGTTATTTCTTCATTGCAGTTGTGGTCTTCCTTTAAATGTTCTTTTACCCCAAGACTCCATTCTAACACCACTTTTGCTCAAAGAGCCATATATGTATGTTTCATATTACTTGGTAATTTTATTTCACTATTTTCTTTTAAGAAAATAATTAAACCTAAGCATATCTGCTTAACGTTCGTCTATACATGTAAAATTACTTTCCCTGCTTGTGAGGCATTTTGGCAACTTTACTAAGAAATAATTTCGTGAAGCCGCGTGCAATAGCAAGTCTTTAATAGTTTTATATACAATTTGACAAAACAGAAATATTTTCCTGCCTAGTCATAATAATCGTGACAATCCATAAGTTTTCAACTTATTGCACGTTCATGTTTATTACTTTCTCGAGTGAACCATAAAAGGAAACTACAAACACATGTTTTACGATGTCACTTATCACAAAAGTTTGTCACTTGGCTCGTACCGACGGGGGCACTATGGATATTATCATATAAATCAGTATTTTGATAACATATCGAATATTGATGACACACTCAATTGACTTTGAGTTCCATCACTGCTGGAAACCTGATGACCGCTTTTCAACTGCAGTTATGAGTACAACAATACTCACACAATAGGCAGTTATTTTTACTAATTTTGAGTTTAACAGAGTTTAACCCTTTATAGAAATAGGCAGAGACACGTTACTTCGGTGCCTGGCACTGCAGTGATCTGTCTGCACCTCTGAAGGTTTACTACATGTTATGAGCGTATGAATAAAAGAGATTCTGTTTCCATTGCATTGTTTTTGGTCGGAGTTGATTTCAATAGCTACTGTTGTCTCTTTCAAGACACTACCGAAAATTGATAGATTTTCGTGCACTAGAAATTATTATTCTCACAGTCTCCTTACCGTTATTTATAAATTGGATGCTAATTAACTTTACTATCTTTCTTAGAGAATATAATAATAGTAACATATTCTCAACGTTATCATCAGGTTTAAAATAATTGCAGGGCAAAATAATTCACAAAGAGCTGCTCTTCCCTACGTCGATCAAAGCATTTGATCAAGATCTTGGAGTTAATGCTACGTTAAAATATGAACTGGTGTCAGGCAACGAAAGAAAGCTATTCTTCTTGAACCCTCAAAACGGCACGTTATATCTTGAAAAAGAGATTGACTTGGATGCTGAAACTGGATTGTCAGGTATTTGTATTTAAAATCAGAGGTCTTTAGTTATACTCAACAATTACCCATAAATTTATAATTTGTAAGAAAGTAAGTTATCAAACACGAGTCACATTCTATGAAAGGTACAAATACAAAATAGAATTAAGTCACTTGTACTATTCCACAATATTTGTTTCATTAAACCTGTCCGGTTTCGCCTCACGACATTTTCAAAGGGATCAGAAATCTACACCACCCAAAAGTTGGCTGGTAAAGAATGCCTAGGGCATTAAGTCCGCCGATGTACACAAGTGCATTAAGTTGTAAAATAACATAAAATAAATAAAATTACCTTATTGCACCGACTTCGAAACCGGTCAAATAAATATTGTGGAATAGTACAGGTCACTTAATTCAAAATGTGAAGCAATTTCTACCAAGTGCCATCAATCAACAATATAAAAAGTAAAAAAAAAAAATCATTCATGACGTAGATTATCTAGGTAGAGAAACAAAAACATTTTCTACCCTTTACATAATAATTATATACCATAACTGCAATTTTTATTTGTCTTTTGTCAGTCATTATTATTCAGGCAACAGGCGTATTTGACATGTGAATTAATTAGAGTTAGAATTTATGAGAGTAAAAGATATAAATAATGTGATAAAAGTGTTTTCAGGAAACACGTTCGTACTGCAAGTGCAAGCTTCTCAACTTGATAATCCCTTGAAGACAGCTCAAGCCAGAGTTGAAATTGAAGTCCTTGATTTAAATGATAATCTTCCTGAGTTTGAAGTAGATTTTTACAACATTAGTATTGTTGAAAATTTACCTAATGGTAGGTATTAACTTTTGGGTAATTATTTACCAATACTAGTAAACCTATTTTTTTTAACTTATATGTGAAATAATCTTAACAATGGAAAAACCTTGTCCAGGTTTCAGTGTACTACAAGTGATGGCAACAGACAAGGATCAAGGAGACAATGGAGAATTTACGTACCAATTAAATGACCCAGAAGGTGCATTCATTATTGACCCTAGAACTGGTTGGCTCACTGTACGGAACCAGGTAAAGAAGAGTAAAAACGTGTACTACATTGTTATTTGTTAAGTTAAAATGTTAGGACTTAAAAAACGAGGTTCTCAATTTTTTTAAATGTTTTACCTTAGATCTTCGTCATTTAAGAACTGATTTGAAAAATTATTTATATATTTGGAAGAGTATACTTACATTTTTTACATTTTTACAGTTTACAAATTGAAACCACTTAACAACTTATAGATTGCAAGCTTCTGTCACGAAATTGTTTATTTTTCTAAATATGTATTTATTATATTTATTTTGCTAAGTATTTAACAAAACAGGGATTGTTGCTATTGTGTGTGTGTGTGTGTGTTGATTTATGACTTTAGAGTGTGCGTAAAAGACGATTTCAAACAATTTTATGAAATTAAGATGTTTGAGTTTGAGTTTATCTTACTCGTATTTGTATAAGTATAAAGTATGCAAGGGCACCTCAGTAACAGCTTCTCTTCCTGGACAGCATCCAACGAAGAGCGACTCAAATCGTCGATAGCCAAAAAGATCTTGGATCGGCTCTATCTCTTAGAGTCACATAAAGATGTAGCTTCTTACTCCTTACTAAAGGGCCGGCAACGCGCATGTGCCTCCTAAAGCGCTGGTGTTCATGGGCGGCGGTAGTCACTTTCCATCAAGTGACCCGTCTGCTCGTTTGCCCCCTCTTATATAAATAAACTATTATCACAAAACGAATAAGTGACTTTTTATTTCTTTACAGACGGTACTAGACAGGGAACAACATTCTTCATTAAAAATGAAAGTATTCGCCAAAGAAAAAAACCCTAACATCGTTGGAACTTTTTTAGATAAACAACGCCTAGCTAAATATCGAAGAACTCCAACTACTCCTAAAGTACCAACACTTAAGGAGAAGACCACATATATTTTTCCGGATAAATTAGGAACAAAAAATGAAAATATAGAATATATTGATAATCAGCTAATGTCTTACGTTAACGTGGAAGTGACACTTTTAGACGCTAATGACAATAATCCAGTTTTTTATACCAAGTAACTTATATGAGTTTATAATCAAGTCAAACGCTAAAGTTGGTACTTTAATCGGTAGAGTAAAAGCAATAGATCCCGATCTAGGGAGAAATGGAATGGTATTATATGACTTACAAAGAACGAGTAATTTGACCATAACATCGCCTTTCCAAGTAGATGCTAAAACTGGAACCATAAATGTTGCTGAGTCACCGATCGTCGAAGGGAGGCATGCTCTGTTTATTGAAGCTTCTGATCAACCTGCAAACCCCAGTGAAAGAAGATATTCGTTAGCCGTTGTTACCATTGATGTAACAAGAGCCTCCAAAGGTAATCCATTTGACTAGTCATTTAATCAAGAAAACTTTAACACTACAGTAAAAAACGAAATATAATGCTTTTGAACTATAATAATCATCCCCAATATTCAACTGTCTATAGGGTCAAAACCAGACAAGCCCGGTTTCATTGGAGCGCCATATGAGTTTTGGGTTGGATCAAATGTTGGAATTGGAACAAGTATCGGTCAAATCCGCATTAATGATGTAATGGAAAAAAATGATGTTTCATATGACTTGTTACATAGTTACGAAGATGGAGGTAATATTTTACTCAGCTGAAAATAAGTATCTAACAATAAACCTACAGTGATTTTATTTATAAGTCGTTTTTATTTTCAGTGCCTTTTGCTGTAGAGGAACGGTCTGGAGTTATTACAGTAGTAGATGAACTGACTAAATACAGACGACCTATGTACGACTTTGAAGCAGTGGCTATGCAAGAAAATGCTAATCTAAGTATATCTACAAACGCTACCGTTCACGTTGTAGACGTTACTGATGAGAGAGGAGTATTATTAAAGTAATCTAATAAAAATAAATATAAGTCAAATAATTATTATTGCTTAATCTGCCTCCTAATATCTAAATTGAAATTTCAGAGGCGCACATTCACCATTGGTGTTCAGTGTTCAAGAAAACGTAGCTGGTGCTACCATTGGTCAAATTTTTCAAGTTAACACCAGTGCACTGCCTGTTAACAGCTCTGGAAATATCAGGTTCATAATTGCTAATCAACAGGATGTTACGGATGACATTGCAATAGGTTAATTTCAAGCTATAAGTATACACTATAAAGTTAAATAAACCTCATAATAACTATTAGTTAGGTGTTCGGATGAGTTCACAAGCCCTAAAAAAAAGCCTGTTGTTTTTTAAATTACAGCAGCTGTAACGTCCTTATTTAGTCCTTTTTATTTTTTGTACTTCTGCTATGCACATTGTCACATAATGCCATAACTGTAGTTATTATGACAATTGCTAACAATATTCATTATAATTTACACAGGCTCTTTAAATAAAATTATTTAAATACATTTATAGGTCAAGACGGTACAATCTACGCACAAAAGCCTTTAGATAGAGAAAAGAGAAGTACTTATCGGATGACAATTATTGCCGAATTCACTAAAGGAATGATTTCTGGAGCTGGAATCTATCAAGTAACTGTAAATGTAGAAGATGAAAATGATAATCCTCCCATATTTGAGTTGCCGATGTACGAAGGTTTTATCACTGAAAATTCAGCAAGAGATACAGAAGTCAAAATGACAAATAAGATTATAGCTAAAGATGCAGACGTCGGATTAAATGCATTATTTACGTACACAATATTCGGTGATGGTCGAGAAATGTTTCATGTTCATGAAAATACTGGCATCGTTACATTTATCGGAAAAAAACTTGATAGAGAAGAAAAAAGTTCATATGTACTAAGAATCGTGGCTAGAGATAGGGGTGGGCTTAGTTCTGAAGCTAAATTAACAATTAATATTTTAGATGAAAATGACAATGTACCAAAATTCAATCAAATTATTATACCGTTCGGGGGAAAACATAGATTTACTGGAATCAGATACAAAATCCTCAGTCAAGATTTATAGTGAAACAAAGAGTAACTCTACTACAGGTTTAGTAAATGTAGAAACAAAACCTAAAAATAAGTTTGCTTTCAATGTTGCCTCAGCAGGTCCGCTGTTTTTGATACCAGAAAATGTTGCTATAGGATCAATTTTATTGAAATTAAACGCTATAGATATGGATAGTGGTGTCAATGGACAAGTGAGATACGAATTTATTTCAGAGGTTTTTAGTCCACCGAGCGTTATGCCTTCAAATAGTATGCAACTCAAGAGATATTTTGTAATCAACGAAAGACAAGGTCATATTATAGTTGCAAGAACACTACCCCCAGAGGCAGAATTTACGCTCAACATATCGGCTCAAAACCAGACAAGCCCGGTTTCATTGGAGCGCCATATGAGTTTTGGGTTGGATCAAATGTTGGAATTGGAACAAGTATCGGTCAAATCCGCATTAATGATGTAATGGAAAAAAATGATGTTTCATATGACTTGTTACATAGTTACGAAGATGGAGGTAATATTTTACTCAGCTGAAAATAAGTATCTAACAATAAACCTACAGTGATTTTATTTATAAGTCGTTTTTATTTTCAGTGCCTTTTGCTGTAGAGGAACGGTCTGGAGTTATTACAGTAGTAGATGAACTGACTAAATACAGACGACCTATGTACGACTTTGAAGCAGTGGCTATGCAAGAAAATGCTAATCTAAGTATATCTACAAACGCTACCGTTCACGTTGTAGACGTTACTGATGAGAGAGGAGTATTATTAAAGTAATCTAATAAAAATAAATATAAGTCAAATAATTATTATTGCTTAATCTGCCTCCTAATATCTAAATTGAAATTTCAGAGGCGCACATTCACCATTGGTGTTCAGTGTTCAAGAAAACGTAGCTGGTGCTACCATTGGTCAAATTTTTCAAGTTAACACCAGTGCACTGCCTGTTAACAGCTCTGGAAATATCAGGTTCATAATTGCTAATCAACAGGATGTTACGGATGACATTGCAATAGGTTAATTTCAAGCTATAAGTATACACTATAAAGTTAAATAAACCTCATAATAACTATTAGTTAGGTGTTCGGATGAGTTCACAAGCCCTAAAAAAAGCCTGTTGTTTTTTAAATTACAGCAGCTGTAACGTCCTTATTTAGTCCTTTTTATTTTTTGTACTTCTGCTATGCACATTGTCACATAATGCCATAACTGTAGTTATTATGACAATTGCTAACAATATTCATTATAATTTACACAGGCTCTTTAAATAAAATTATTTAAATACATTTATAGGTCAAGACGGTACAATCTACGCACAAAAGCCTTTAGATAGAGAAAAGAGAAGTACTTATCGGATGACAATTATTGCCGAATTCACTAAAGGAATGATTTCTGGAGCTGGAATCTATCAAGTAACTGTAAATGTAGAAGATGAAAATGATAATCCTCCCATATTTGAGTTGCCGATGTACGAAGGTTTTATCACTGAAAATTCAGCAAGAGATACAGAAGTCAAAATGACAAATAAGATTATAGCTAAAGATGCAGACGTCGGATTAAATGCATTATTTACGTACACAATATTCGGTGATGGTCGAGAAATGTTTCATGTTCATGAAAATACTGGCATCGTTACATTTATCGGAAAAAAACTTGATAGAGAAGAAAAAAGTTCATATGTACTAAGAATCGTGGCTAGAGATAGGGGTGGGCTTAGTTCTGAAGCTAAATTAACAATTAATATTTTAGATGAAAATGACAATGTACCAAAATTCAATCAAATTATTATACCGTTCGGGGAAAACATAGATTTACTGGAATCAGATACAAAATCCTCAGTCAAGATTTATAGTGAAACAAAGAGTAACTCTACTACAGGTTTAGTAAATGTAGAAACAAAACCTAAAAATAAGTTTGCTTTCAATGTTGCCTCAGCAGGTCCGCTGTTTTTGATACCAGAAAATGTTGCTATAGGATCAATTTTATTGAAATTAAACGCTATAGATATGGATAGTGGTGTCAATGGACAAGTGAGATACGAATTTATTTCAGAGGTTTTTAGTCCACCGAGCGTTATGCCTTCAAATAGTATGCAACTCAAGAGATATTTTGTAATCAACGAAAGACAAGGTCATATTATAGTTGCAAGAACACTACCCCCAGAGGCAGAATTTACGCTCAACATATCGGCTCTAGATGGTGGTCAGTTAAGTGACCACATTTCCATTAGATTTTTTATTAAAGATGTTAATGACCATTTTCCAATGTTCAAAAAAACTTTGTACAGTTTCAATGTAGAAGAAGCTCAATATACAAGAAGAGTCCTCGGCAAAGTAGATGCAACAGATGCGGACTTTGGACAAAATGCCAATTTGACATATTTTATACAACCTACAGATAATTATTTGCCGTTTGAGATATCCCCATCATCTGGGGTATTTAGCGTGAATGGTGAATTAGACAGAGAAAAGGAAGACAAATATATACTAACAGTAGTAGCACGGGATAATGGTTATGACAAAAAGCTGTCATCTTCAGTAAGTGTTGAAGTACAAGTACTGGACGTCAACGACAATGCCCCAAATTTCTATGCCTATGATGAGCTATTAGAATGGAAACATCCCGAGGCTGATGAAATTTCAAATCACAATTTTGAATCAGTGAAAAAGTTGCCAATTTATAAAGCGTCAGTGGATGAAAATGCACCAATAGGAACTGTGGTTGCCAAAGTTTTCGCAAATGATTCTGATTTTATTGGAAATGGGAATGGTCTTATTTTGTACAGTTTACCCCAAAAGAAAAATCAAATAAATCTTTTTGCTATTGATTCAAAAGAAGGTATCATAACAACTACGGCAAGATTAGATTACGAAAGTCAAACAGTTCATAATGTGACAATTGTAGCCTCTGATTTAGGATCTCCCAGTTTAAGTTCTACAGCAATATTGGTGCTTACGGTGACTGATGTGCCTGATGACGTTGAAGTATCAGACAAGCCTGTCTTTATATCTAGATACTACGAGCTTGAGATAGAAGAAAATGTTCACACTCCAGTTGAATTAATTACACTGAATTTGACTGAACATTTCGAGAATTTCAAAATGAAATATTTTATACTGAATGAAAATGATATCGACGTGAAAAAGACTTTTGTGATTGATCCTAAAAATGGGACATTGTACTTAGTTAAGAGTCCAGATAGGGAAAAACAAGATATTTATGAAATTATAATCAGAGGTGAAAGACAGAAAATCAGTAGACAATTGCCACACATGATTTATCCCGTAGCAGATGACCTTATGGAAGGTTTGACTAAGTTTGATGTGAAGGTTATTGTCAGAGTTAAAGACGTCAATGACAATGCTCCAAGGTTCACTAATTTTGGAAGGCCGCTAGTTACTGCAATACCTACAACGGCTCCATTTGGACTTCAAGTAATACAGCTGGTAGTAAGTACTGATACTCGCTTAAGAAATTAAAATCCGTTCCACTTAATACAATATTTAATGTTGTAATAATTATAATAATAACTTTACACATAATAATATCGTCTACGTCACACAAGGTGTAATATTTAATTTTATAAATATTGCAATATGATATTGTTTAGTGAAATATTAAACTATAAAATAATGACTGCACGCCTACTACGCTGAGTGTTGTGGGTCCGATCCCCACATTCAAGTCAGGTGAGATACTGTAGAACGCGTATCCTAAGGTATTAAACTAAAATTTACAAACAATGGCTTCCCCTCCTATGAAATATTAAGTTAAACTACAATCCTCCCTAAGTTCAAATGTATTATATTTATTTTTCACTCCAAATAATACATTAATGAACAACATCAATTTCACCAGGCTACGGATGCAGATGTCGGCATAAACGCAGACATTCGGTACCAAATCATAAACGAGCAGGCTCCAAGGTTTGCCATCGATCCAGTGACGGGTTGGGTACGTGTTGTAGCGGCACTTACTCTAGATGCAGGAAGAGTATTTGGATTCGATGTAAAAGCAACCGATAAGAGAGGTGCTGATGATGGCAAATCGGCCATTGCAAATGTTTTTGTGAGTATTCTTAAATTATTAAATTTACACATGTGTATAATTTATTGAAGCGTTGTTTTATTGAAGATATTTTGTGAGTGTGATGGCAATATGAATAACCGACAATCATCGGTGTTAGTTAAAAATATTTTACGTAGAATTTTCTGACAACAATTTCTACATCGTATCGTATCGTCTAAAATAGACAAAGCTCAACGCGGTAACAAGACAGCAGACATTCTTTTTTTGGAAACATAGCTGTATAAAAATCCCCACTGAGTTGATGTGATTTCGTAAAAGTTTTCTTTGTAATATAGATAAGTAGGTACAATGTGCTTTATCGAGTCACAGTCGAAGTTGTCTGCATATGATTATAAATAAGAAAATTAAATAAATACATGTTTTTTATCAAGGTATACGTACTAGATGAAAACAAGCAGTTGGTTGTAACAGTGGGAGCAAAGCCAATGCAAGTGGAGAAGGAACTTGACAATATCACCAATGCATTGACTGGATTAACGGGTTTAGATATCCGAGTGAGGAGATTAGAGGCTAACATGAAAGCGTCAGCAGACGGTTTAGCGTAAGTATTGTGGTTTTTTTTTGTCTAGAAAAAGCCACTTAATGTCGTTACATTGTCGTTTGTTGTGGGCTCACTTAAAAAACCTCGAAATGGCAATGAACAAAAACATTTTGCAGTTCCGCGCTGGCGGTCACAGCGGACGCGCGTGACTCACTCCGTCCGACCCGCTATTGAATACAATATTCACTACGCGACACGTGAATCTTAATATTTGTTTTGATTTTTTTTTCGTTAATAGGGTAACTCCTGGCAACAGGAGCCCCCTTATAAAATAATGTTTGGACCCTCAACGTCTCAAAATCCCCCAGTGTACCAACCAACCACAATGTCTCAAGAAACACCCAATACGTCAAGTTATGCAAATGTTACTTCATCTACTTGTTTTCCCAAGAAAGACCAAGCCATCGTACTGGACTCCATTGACGGTATAACACTCAGGGAGTACCTCATTGCATTATCGTCAATTATTCCTGCAACGTCTATACGATTTATATCTCGAATATCGAATGCTCGAATATGTATTTATATGGACTCGAAAAAAACCGCCGATAACCTTGTCGAAGAAAAGAAAAAGCTAACTATCAAAAGTAATATTCTTGAAATAAAATCTTTAGTTACAAGAAATAAAAGGATCGTCTTATCAAATGTTTGTCCCGTTATTCCAAATTATATAATTGAAAAACGATTTGAAGAATTAAATATAAAAATAATGTCGCCACTAAAATTTATGAAAATAGGTGTTAGCGACCCAGGCTTTTCCCACATCTTAAGTTTTAGAAGACAATTATATATTAGCCCAGACGATGTGGCACGTCTGCCAGAAACATTTCAAATTACATTCGAAGGCACTAATTACTGGATCTATACATCTACTGATGCTCTAAAATGTTTTACTTGTAATACACTGGGGCATTTAGCTAAAAATTGCCCACAAAATATAAAAAATATTCAAGACTACCCCCGTGAAATGGAAAAACAAACAGCAAAAGAAATTATTGATATATTCGATAGATGCGATGATTTAATTGTTACCCACCCTCAGGATGACCCTAAATGTACCCCAGTAAATCAAGGCTTCTCACAACCATCTCAGATGAACCCAAAAGGAGTAAAAAGAACACATTCAATAACGACTACTGAATCCTCAAAAATAAATATTATAAAACAACACACACAAGAAGAGGAGTCTGACAGAATGGAATTTGAATCTGATGAAACAGGCAGTAATATATCATTGGAAGATCTGGAAACCAAAACAAAAACAAAAAAGAAACTAAAAAAGTCTGACCCTAGAACTGAAGAAGAAATTTGGACAAATATTGAAAAAGAATTATCCACGTTAAACAACGAAAATACATTCCCTATTAATTTAGACCAATTCATTAGCTTATTAGATAATACACGAGGAAAACAAAATATAAAAGAATTAGTATATTCTTATACAGATAACATTAAGGACCTTATTAAAATGTGTAACAAATTACACTGTAAGATGAACAAAAGCCAAAAAAATAGATGTTCACGTCTGTCAAGGAAATTACATGAAATATTAATATCTCCCACACCTATTGTTACAACGGACATAGATCAATAATTTAAAAGTTAACTTAATTTTTTACTACTACATATTATTTTAAAGATATGTTATTATTAGTTAATATGGATATATTACAATGGAATGTTAATGGTTACTATAAACGAATTGAAAATATCAAATTATTAATAAGTAAATTATGTCCCACTTGCATTTGTCTACAGGAAACAAATTTTACTTTTAATAAATGCGCTTCTTTAACAGGATACAAACAATTTTACAAAAATCGGTTGCAAGGTGATAGGGCTAGTGGTGGAGTGGCTATTTATATTAAGTCTCATACGATTCCAGAAGAAATAGTTTTAAACACAAATTTAGAAGCAGTTGCAATAAACATAAAATTCCCACTATCTATTACATTATGTAACGTTTACCTACCAAATAGTAGTACTCTTGATAAACAGCAATTAAATAATCTCATTAGTCAGCTCCCATCTCCTGTGATAATTTTAGGCGATTTCAATAGTCATCACTTTTATTGGGGTTCAGATAAATGTGATTCTAGGGGTAAGTTAATAGCAGAATGGCTTGACGAACTTGATAATTTATTTCTATTAAATAACGGACAACCTACTCGTTTTAATAGCCATACGGGTCTGACAAGTAATATAGATCTTACCTTGGCTTCACAAAATATAACGTCATATTTTGAATGGAACGCCCTGGACGATTTGTATGATAGTGACCATTTCCCCATTTTCATTACATCTAATTTTAATTCTAATGTATCAAACGATATTAGAGTGCCTAAGAAATGGAAGTTTGATAAAGCAGATTGGAACATGTTTCGGGAATACTTTGATCTAAATATAACAGAATTAGTACCAGTAAATCAATTTATAGATTCTTCTATTAATGTGGTGGTTGATAAATTCACTGAAGTCATTCTTAAGGCTGCTGATAATTCAATACCTAAAACATCTGGTATCTTAAGAAAACATAATTTACCATGGTGGAACGAGGACTGTAAAATTGCAATTCGAGAAACAAAAAAGGCGCTAAAACTCTTTAAACGATATGCTAGAGATGACCCCAATTCGACTTATAAAATCAATTATAAGAAGAAGAGAGCTTACTATAGGAGACTTATTAAAGAAAATAAAAAAAGATATTGGGAAAATTGGGTGTCATCTATTACTAACAAAACCCCTGTTAGGGATATGTGGAACAAGATTCAGAAACTAAATCACCGCAACACTAGATTCAACCAAATTGTACTAGAACAAAATGACGGTATGTTTACATCTAACCCTATTGAAACCTCAAACCTTTTAGCTGAATCTTTTGCACATATTTTCTAGTTCTAATAACTATAATGATTTATTTATTGAATATAAAATTAGACAAGAGACCGATTCAAATCTCGAGACATCCGACAATTCCAACCCAATCAATAAAGAAATATCAATGCACGAATTAATTTCAATACTTTCACAAATTGGTAATTCTAGCCCAGGACCAGATAATATACCGAATATTTTAATTAAACATTTGCCAATGACAGGACTTAAATATTTACTTCAACTATATAACCATATATATAAGGATCATGTATTTCCGGACAATTGGAAAGAAGCTTTAGTAGTTCCAATATTAAAACCACAAAAGATTTCAAGTTCACGAACTAGCTATAGACCGATATCTTTAACATGTAATCTATGTAAAATATTAGAGAAAATTATCAGTAAAAGAATTAGATGGTACGTAGAAATAAATAAATACTTGTCACCATTTCAGTATGGATTTCGCCAGTTTCGATCCACAATAGACCATTTAGTGAATATAGAAAGTGACATACTGGATGGATTTGCTAATGATATTTATACAGTGATTGTAGCATTAGATATTGAGAAAGCTTATGAAATGGTTTGGAAACACAGGTTACTAAAATTATTACAAGACATCAATATTAAAGGAAATGCTCTGGCGTTCATTAGAAACTTCCTTTCAGATAGGACAATAAAAGTAAGAATCAATGATACAACATCTAACCCAGTTCGTACAGAAAATGGTCTACCTCAAGGCTCGGTACTTAGTGTTATTCTATTTTTGCTAGCTATTAACGACATTCTTCCACTTATTGATAAACCGGTAAAAGCGTTTCTTTTCGCTGATGACCTAACACTAACTTGTAGCGGTAGATCGTTGCAACCAACATTAAAACTTATACAGAATACACTGGGAGTCCTTGAGGAATGGTCAAAGAAATCAGGCTTTAAATTTTCAAAAACTAAATCAGAATTCATGGTCATGTCTAGTAAAAGAATTAAATCAAAAAATGCACAGCTGACTTTAAATGAACACAATATTAAAGAAGTTAACAAAATGAAAATTCTAGGATTAACATTCGATAGAAAGATGTCATGGATTCCACACATAAATGAACTTAAATCTGAGTGCTATAAAAGGTTAAATGTTATTAAAATTCTGTCGTCGACATCATGGGGATCTCACAGAAAATGTCTTATAAACACATATCGTGCTTTGATAAGACAAAAAATAGATTATGGATGCGTAGTTTATGACTCAGCAAAAAAACGAACACTCAATTCTCTCGAAAGCATTCAAAATACTGCCCTTAGATTGAGTATTGGTGCATTTAAAACAAGTCCGATTAATAGTATTTTAGCTGAAGCTGGAGAAATGCCGTTAGAATTTAGAAGAAAGGAAATGGTTATAAGATATGCTATTAATATATCATCTCAACCTGAAAACCCAACTTATTATATTTACACTAAAATAACAGCTGCAGACACGGAATATGAACTTCGATCCCATTTACCGCGACCCTTCAGAATAAGAGCAACTAAATATTTAAAGGAAATTAATTTCAAGATTCCAAATTTTTTTACGAAGAAATTGCTTTCGATTGGCCCATGGGAAAGCTTAGATTGGCCCATCAACCTCGAATTATCAAAAAACCACAAGGAAGATACTCCTCAATACATGTACAAAACCCTATTCTTAGAAATTAATAGTAGGTACACAGATTGTAAGATTTTTTATACGGACGGGTCAGTTAAGGACGGAAAATCAGGATGTTCAATAGTATATGGGAATAATTGTTACCGTTATAGACTTGGAGATTTTAATACAATTTTTAGTTGCGAAGCAATAGCAATCCTTAAAGCCTTGGAACTAATAAGTAGTGATATTAATACAGATAAATATATAATATATACTGACTCTAAATCATGCTTAACAGCGTTACAAAGTACAAATAACACAAATACCCTAGTTATAGAAATTAAACAAAAAATTATAAACCTACTTAAAAATAACTACAAATTTGAAATTATTTGGATTCCAAGTCATCAAGGGATAGTTGGTAATGAAAAAGCAGATCATGAAGCGAGGCAAGCAATAAATGAAATCGAAAATTGGCATACAAATAAATCAACTCCAGACGAACTACAAAAATACCTCAAACATAAAATTAAATCTACTTGGGATGAGTATTGGAAAACAGAAAATACATCAAAGTTATATAGTATAAGGAAGTCTATTTTTAATAAATCCCCCAATAATTTTACTTGTAGAAAAGATCAAGTGATCATCACCCGTCTACGTATCGGACACTCAAATATGACACATATTCATCTAATTACTAAAACCGAAAGAAATAAATGCAAGTGTGGACTAGATTTAACTGTTAAGCATTTATTAGAGGAATGCACAGCTTATTGTAGCGAGAAAAAGTTATGTAACATGCCAAATAATTTACAAGACTGTTTAAATCAAAAAGGATGTATGCAAACTTTAAGTTTTCTGAAAATGATCAATGTCTATAACCTAGTGTAAACTACAGTGTGATTATATATGTATACCTATTGTCAATTGTGGTCGCTAATGACCTGAGATGTTAAAAAGCGACCTTAAATAAATAAATAAAAAAAAAAAAAAAAACATTTTGATGTATTGTACTTTGACTACTTTTTTCGCAGATCTTCTATAATTGTCAATTGTATTAGAAGAGACTAGAAATCGCTCCTGAAATAATGCCATATTTTTTTCAGGACTGACATGTACATTTATGGAGTCGATCCATTGTCCAATGCAGTTATAGACATGGAAGTATTACAAAAGTACGTAGCAATTTTGTATTATTTTCGTATTAGTTCATTATTAAAGTTACGTGTATATTTATATGAAACACTAGTTCTGAAACACAAACCTAATCTTCGTATTTAAACACTGAAAAAAATATTTAATTTATCAGATCTCTTATGAAACGTGAAACCGACCTCCGTCATGATCTGGCTGGTTTCCGAGTCCTCGGAGTAGGGGATAATACAATGGTTCAAGCCAGAAGTGGCAAGCTCCTCAGTACTATGGAGATCAGCGTGGTGGCCCTGGGATGCATTGTGTTTATTGGAGCGTGTACAACTGCTATCTGTATACTCTGTGTCAGAAGAAGTAGAAGGTAAGAGATCAAATTCAGTTTTATTATCGGTTATATCGTATTTTGAATCGAAGTTAATTATAAGTGATTGAAATTACATTTAAAAATAGGGTTATTTAAAGAGTAAATACTAGGTACTGGATAAAGTATAAAATTTCTGTTTATCAAATGTATATGGGCGAGTTGTCTACCGACAATAGAAATTATCTTAATATTTACGAGGATTCATGCTGCTCCAAAGCACTACGTTTGAGTTAAACGTTCACACTTCGCTTCCTTTTTAACTTAACCAATTAAAGTGGTTAAAAGGTAAAATAAAATAGCACTACCTTAATAGCCAGAAATATAAAGAAAAATAGCTATGAAACCCTAAGAAATGTAGTAAAAGAAACGTCGTGTAACCTACAAATTTAAGACGATAATCATAGAAAATCTTACGTCATATTTTATTAATAATTTAAAGAAATCAGTGGTCCGACTGGATAAAGTGGCAATAGGTATTTTTAATATAAAGGTAAATGCCTTGTCTATGACCTGTTCATTCAATACATTTCTATCTTTATACCCAAACGTACAACTAAAAGACATATTACAACCCATGTCAAATTTTAAATATCTGATAGTTAACAAGAATAATTTAGTGGTAAGCAAAATGTTTTTCGCTTATCATTTTCAGACATCATCATCACCACAGACGAAATAATGTGAAACACTATTACATTTGAGGCTACCCTATTTTGTTGCATGTTGTAGATTTTACTTTTAGATGTTAATAAAAATAAAATTCCTTCTCTTTAGAATTCGTAACATTTTCCTGGCACTTAGCTTTAAGACCCTAGTTTTCCTATTTTTGTTTTTGTAAGTACAGATCTGTGTTATCTATTTTACTTTCGTCTGCCGCTGTTTTTGGTGTTTTAAGTATAATATTTAAATATAAATGTAATCAATAGTATTTGAAATCAGAGGAGCAATCTCTGACTTCATAAGTGACAAGATTTTATTTTACTCCTGATATTCAAACTAGGCATTTACATGGCGCTCCGTTTCTCGGATTCTATATTTTACAAATTGTTGATTGATTTCGTTTATCGTTTAGCGACGGAGATATACTAGATGCCCTTATCATCAGCCTATCGCAGTCCACTTCTGGACATAGGCCTCTCCCATTGGTTTGATTTTGGGCTTCTCACATCCAGATCGCTAGATGTCCTTATAGACAATAAAATAATCTGAAAAAAAAACGAATTTTAAATTGCACTGTAACGAAGATATAAAACTAGCTTTATTACACAATAGTTGTAGTAAAAGCAATGCCAGATTCGGCGGCTACTAGCTCCACTAAATAACTCTTCACTTCTTCTTTTCCTTAACAGACGCCACCACAAACCATATTCCCAGCAACATCTTAACGCTTTTTCAACTGAGCATCTAACAAAGTTTGGAGGCCTCTTTCCGTCTGGAGGGAATCAGTGCCAGGAGCTCAACCAGTCCTATAGCGAAGGAGATTCTTATATAGATGTCATCAATCACAGTTCTAAGAAGATTTGCCCGCATGGGAACACTGTTGAAGAGTTTGGCAAGGCTCACCAGAAATGCGTGAAGAATCAGTTCGGAGACGACATGTTTGACCAGAAGCATGAAAGGATGTGTATTAAGTTTAATCAGCGTCCCTTGCAGAAGAGGTATGTAATTTGATTTTATTGACACTTATTGACACTATTTGAATTTGTATTACATACTTATTACCTAACTTGCTAACAGTCTAATATTGCAAAATACGAATAAAAAGATAACTTATTTAGGTCCCACAATTTCCTTCACAATTTAAAAGTCGATTATTGTCATTTGAATCTGAGACGGTGGCAAATCTAAATAAGCAGGATTTTTGTATGTAAATCAAGGTTTTTCTTTAGGGCTAGCATAAATTGATATACTGAAATAACATCTATAGATTTTAAACTAGTCTAAATATATTATAAAGTCCTAAATAACAAAATCCAGTACTATGACATTTGAAATCATCTTAGCTACATAAAAATTTAAGAACTCTTCAATTTTATCTTTTCCATCTCTCCTTCATCTGTTGAGTATAAATACTTCAAAACAATTTTTCGTTTTAAAGTTCGACAAATTTTGAATTGTAAGCGTGCCTGTTTTATAATTTGTTTCAAACCATTCGTTGATATTTAATCTCAAAATTAAACAAAATTTAAAAGTGGGTCAAAGTCTCTCAAATCTCGTACTCCGGGTATTTTAAACTTTACACCAAGAAGAAGATCTTAAAATGTAACCCTTTTAAGTATTCTCGTTTGAAATAGATACAAAAAGTTTGACGGCAACTTGCGCTATTCAAACAAAAATAGGCTTTGATTTCAACCTCAAAAGTACATTTTAAATTAACTTCATATCATACAATACTGGTCGTCTTTAATAGAGTAATAAACTAGTTTCACAATAGAATTTATATAATCCTGTTTGGTGCTGTTTTAGGGAGAATATAAATTGTGTGTCTCTTAAAGGACCATCTCCTGATCATCTCTAATTCTTCTGGAGATCACCCCTTTTCTTATAAAACTCTTTTATTACTCTATTTTCACTGGTAGTCCTTCCGATGTAATAGGCCTAACACATGGAAATAGCGTGGATCTCCCACGATTAAATAAAGCAATATCAACTTACACTATGTATATGTTACTGTAAAAGCCCCAACTACGGTAAATTCTAAAATACACTGGTAAAATCAAATAATACCAACGAGTTATGGTAAAAGTCCGAATTTTAAGCATTTACCATCATTAACATGGTTAATCTTAAGATTTACTTCAAATACGCAACAAAAGTCGATAAACAGACATGTTTCACCAACAAGAGAGGGAACCTGGCACTAAGCGGCCGCTGCGCAGACCGCTCGCTTATCTCGCTCGTCTCCGCGCTTTAATGGTCACTGTTCTAAACTAACCCAACCTGAATTTAACTTTAAAGTACTTATTGTTTTCTTTATTACATTTACCAACCGCCTCTGGTAAAACCTAGCATGTAAATGCTCCCCTTTTTATTAATACCTACATTTATCAACTCCTGCAATCTTGAGATTTATTGGTAAAACCTAATATTTACCGTAGTTCGGTCTTTTACAGTCACATATATACTAAATCGCTATTATATTATTATGTTAGTGGTTGCTATACATAAACACACACACACACATATACAAAATAAAGTAACATATTATTACATCGCAAAGTCTCGAATCCCCAACTCGCAGACTGGATCATCAATCACGAACCGAAGGAGATCGTTATTTTTTTTATTTCACTCGTGAAATAATATTTCATATACTCGTAGGAACGCTACAGTGATTGACATCAGAGAACACTTACATAGATAGGTACAGATGTACTCCATCTACCAATAAAGGCACTTAAAACATAAGTTGTGGCACAGTGGACTGATTTTGAATGATCTTGGGATAATTTTTTGTCCTTATCTAATATACGAGTAATATAGGGATGCAATTTTGTATGTATTTTTGTGGAAAATCTGTAAATAGACAACAGAAAAGCAAGTTATGTTTTGTAGGGTTGTTGGTCCACCGACCGAGTTACAATGCCACGGTCAGAATGAACAATGCAAGTTTGTTATCTGTTAGTTTACACACAGATTATTTTTTAAATCATATTTTTTTCTTAATATACACAAAATACCACACTAGATTCAAAATACCACACTAGATTCAAAATACCACAAATGTTCGAAATATGTAAATGACCATTATTTTGGGTTGTATACTGGGTTTTTTATATCAGCCACTCCGTTTAATTCTTCTATTAAAAAACTTATATTTAAACTAGAGGAACTATAACAAATGCCAGTCTTAAATAAAGACTGGTATTTGTTATAAAGTAGAAAAGTTAGATAGACGGAAGTTAAAGCAAGTAGTTAACAAAATGCGCAGGGATTATCTTAGTCGTGCTTTCCTAAAAGAAAACCGGTTTCTCTAGTCCAAATAAAAGTTGTTGTAAAAACGCCATTATTTTTAGAATAGATCAGGTTTTTTTTTTCATCTTTAACAATACCATGATAATATAATATTTATTCGGTATTAGCCGTGGACACCGGGTGACAGTCAGCGTATGTCCACGGCTAATACAACCTAGTTGAAACGTCAAGCAAATTCAAAGGCATGTGGTGGTCGGCATTAATTCCTGAATGAACAATTCTATAACACAAATCACAACAAATTTATATTCCATGTTTCTAATACCACAATATCAAAGATCTCCCAACGTCACCACTAGTCACACATACAGAGTAACATAAACACTTTACTGTAGGAAAGGGCAAGATACATCGATAACGTCCGTGAATTCCAGCGGTCAAGACTCCGGCATTGCGGAAGCCGCGTCCAAATGTCCCTGCGGCCAATCCAGCTTGCACACCTCCGAGGAGAGCAGCGGGTGGGTACACTCATTATGTAGCTATTTCTGATTATGAAGCAAATTTTGTTGTTATAAATACATCCATTTTGACCGACCTGTTGGTTTAGTGGTTAGTGATTCTTATAACTGAGCCAGATGTCGTGGGTTTGGCCCCCATCCCGATGTAATTATTGTGTGATAAGCAAGATCATTTGTTGTTTGGTTAGATTTTTTCGATCATATTATCCACACATTAACTAATGAGTTCATAACATGCATCATCTTTTACTAATTGATTCTATCAAATTCATCTTCATTTCCTAGGTGCAGTTACGAAGATTCCTTGAAGTCCACGAACAACCAGGAGGGCCGATCAAAATCATTCCGAGGAGATCATGAGACCCGTTTTACAAGAAGAGCTTCATTCGGTCACCAGCCTCTGGACTCTAGACCGATGAATTACAGACGTCAATCTTTTTCTGAAAACATGCAAAGGCACTTTCCCCCTTTTGAGGGAGTCGGTTCTGGAGGAAGAATAACTCGACAGATATCCACGCCGAATGTATCAAACATCCCACATTCTTATTTTTTAAACGGAAATAAGAGAGTAGAATCTAGAAGAAAAGAAGTAGTAAATGAGCCTATGGTAGACTATGATCATAGTGAAGGAGAAGATGTTTTTGATACATCACATAGGATGGAAAGGAGAACTAGTGGGAGAAACTATAAAAGAGGGAAGTTTATGGAACTTGGCGGACAAGCTGCGGTGTTCGTAACCTCGCCAGCAGCCGCTGAAATAATGAGAAGACAAGGCAGTGAAAAGCTTATGTTTGCTAGGCCATTATAGTATAAAATGTTCAGGAACAAGCTAAATGAAGACAGTTTTGGTTAGGTAATGTTTCTCTGTGTCTTGTATAAAAATCCTATTGTTGATATTTGATTTTTAATATAACGCAAGGATGTAGATGTGTGTTTGAAGAACTGAAACGTGTATTTATATTTGGAAATGCATTCGTTTAGAAATAATTGGAATGAGGATTTGATCGTATTTACCTTTTTCATATATAAAAGTAATGAATAGTGTGGAAGACATAAAAACTATAGAGCTTGTTCCTTTTAATTTCGATGATTTCAGAATCAATAGGTACCTGCAATACTCAATTTTTGTAACTATTATATTTAAATTTTCTTTTTTTAAAAAGAGAGTCTAAGAATCAAAAATAGTTTAATTGAATACTAAAAAGATCTTAAGTGACAAAGTAAACTTTTGAATGTGCAATTTGTAATTATGTATAATTAGGTTGTATATAGTGTGTATATAAAGATATCGTAGCGATATTGGACATCTATTATAAGATTTTCTTGCCTTCATCAGCTTTACAATTTGGTTATGTCCAAAGAAATATATTGTAAGTGCCATTTGGAGAATGTCTCGTAGACTCCACGTGGAGTTTTGAGTTTAGGAACAGATTGTTAAAATAATTAAATATTTAACCACCTAAAGATGATGATATGTGTTACAAGTGTGACGATTTGTACTTTTTGTAAATACTTTAAACTTAAGAAATAAATTAGTTTTATATGGCCTTTATGTCGTTTTATTGTTCTGATAAAAAAGCGAGAGCCATATCTGAGTAACCAAAGACTGATATGAGAATTAAATGTTACTATTCAAACAACGTTTATTCAAAGCTTTCAAAGAATGTGAAAACATGTTCATTCCGCCATGATTTGGATTAGGATCTAGCTGGGTTTCACTCACTAACAAATGTTGAGACTATTCTGATTTAAAAATAAAAATTGATGAGCAAACGCATATATTTATAACATTAACCAACTACATAGTTATATTATTCACGTACCTGTTTAGGGAATGCCTGCCATGCTTTGGCCCTGGCTTTGCTCCTGCCAAATTTTTTACGTTTAACTTCGACGTGACAACTCGTTTCACTTTTCCATAAAGAGTTGAGCCCCATTATGGTTTGCATCAGCATCTTATTATTTGAGCTTATACCTGAACAGGTGCAAAAATTAGTATGATTGTATTCCTATTGAAGTTAGTATAAGCTAAATAATAATAATAATATTCTACCACATTCACACAACGCCATCTAGTCCTAAACTAAGCAAAGCTTGTACTATGGCTACTAGACAACTGATATAAATACATATATACTTTTTTTTTTGTAAATACATACATATTATACATAGAAACACCCAGACCAAATCCAACATTAAATTTTCATGCACACAAATGTTTAACTTGAGCAGGAATCGAACCCGCGACCTTTGTAATAGCAGTCCGTTACGCAAACCACTACGCCATTCGGTCGTCGTATAATATCGTATCGTAATATCGTGTAATATTTAAAAAGTATGACATATGACCTTAAGAAAACGTTTTTAAAGCCAACTGTGTAGGTAGTAGAATCAGCAATATAAAACAATATGTCAATAAGCAAACAATGAACGTTCTCAGTTTGTAAATGGTTACTCTTTGAGCGACGTCGCAAATATGTCTTCCCATAAATAAAAAAGTAAGAAAACAAAAGGAAACATATTGCAGGTTATTGTGTACATAACTTTGGCAGTATGGTGACCATAAAATACGTTAGTTTTTAAGAATATACTCTTTTTTTTTATCGTAGGGGCAACCCATCAAGGGGAGTTCCACCGTCCATGAACACCTGAAACAAGACAAGTGCATTGTCACCCTTTGAAATCCCCTCTACCTAAAGTTAAGGAGTTAGGGGGGAAATTGAGCCTCTGGTATTCTAAGACACTGAGCGTGAATGGTATCACTTCGAACGAGACGGTCCATTATGTGCCAAAGTACGGTTCTCCTATGGCTTGAATCTCTTTTACAGACATCCCTGTTACTTAACAAGGATAAAAAAAATATGCTTTGGGATTGTAAAATACTAAATTACGTATTCTTAATCTGAATAACTACATTATTAAAAGCGAATCTTTTATTCGTTATTCAGTAGTCTGTAACAGAAGACAGTGTCCTTACTTCTGAAACCGTTGTGAAGAGGTTGTAGTGGGTCAGCCTATCTACAAGTGGATTAAGTAACCAGAAATTGAGTTCCTAAGAACTCAGATGCTCTTAATTTCTCCGATGCGATAAAGGTTTTTATTTAAAAAGTTTAAAGTTCACTGTATGCATTAGGTGTCAAGACGAAATGCATCTTATATTTGGTTTAAATTTAATTTTTATGCTATAACTGGACAAAGTCAGGTCACCTAATGGTAAGTAACCACCGCTGCCCATCGACACCGGCAACTCAAGTCCCTCCCTCTAGATTCATGGAACCTCCTTTGGGTTTTGGGCACCGGTAACGTACGTAACGATGGTTTGGCCGTCACACTCCAGTCGATCTGACCACATATGGGCCAGGATCGATCATTACCACGTTCGACACATGTGTTTCAAAACATGGTATCATGGGAACTCACATAATGTATCAAATTGGAAAATTTCATACAGAATACATTATCCGTCGAAAATATCTTAGATGAAACTGCTACTCACGGTTTTCAGTTTTCAGCACTTGTGCGACTTTGTGAAACCTACACTTTCACATCAACAGACTTTAACAGTCCACTGCTGGACATAGGCCATTCCTTAGAAAACAGGTTTTAGTCTGCTATACTACGCTGGCCAGACGGCCACTCTTTGCAGTACTGTTGTCCTGCGTAGTTTGTTCCCTTTATCGACTCTAACAACACCCACGGGATAAATAGGGGTGGCGCTACCCCGTATGCTTAATCCGTCACTACGCGGATACACCTACACCTTACCAGCATTGAATCACATGCGATACAATTTATCAACTGATCTTTTCACAATTATCAAAATGCTGCACGAATGAAGTTGTGGAAACAGCTAGTTATTGATAAATATAAAATCCACTTTCCACAGTTTACCCACTCACAACCCTTTAAAATGTGTGACAGACGGTAAATTAATCTGTCCCAAAGTTAATACCTTCACTTAACATAAGCCGAGAAGTGTCCGGGAAAATGTTACAACATGGTCTCTGTATGCCATCCATAGATAAATGACTCGGGCAATGAACCCGCACAGTACAGTAAGATATATTTATTATTTGGAGTTTTTAAGTATTTGTCTCAATTGTAGCCTCTTTTCACTTTAACTTTGTACCAAATTGAAAAAAAATTCAAACAAAAACATTATCCGTCGAAAAAAATCATATCTTAGATAAAACTGCTACTTACGGTTTTCAGTTTTCAGCACTTGTGCGACTTTGTGAAACCTTCACAACCTACACTTGCACATCAATCACATCAACAGCCTTTAACAGTCCACTGTGGGACATAGGCCTCTCCTTACAAAGGAGGTTTTGGCCTACTATACCCCGGTGCTAGACAGGTTGGTGACGGCCCGAGGGGGTTTCCACACGTAAAAAGAAAAAAGGGTTTGATTCAAGTTTTCCTCTTCTTTGCAGTGTTGTTGTCCTGCCTTAGTTTCCTCTTACGACACCCACGGGATGAAAAGTGGTGGTGACACTCTTTATTCTTAATCCGTCACCACACGGATAGTAACGATTTATTAACATAATGACTGTTAAACAGAACACACCTTGTTTGGTATTTGGACTATATATATATAGTAGGACTATGTATTTAAATTAGAAGTTAGAAGAAAAAAAACCGCTCAACATATATTGTACTTTCAGTTTATTTCGATGTTATGAATTACTTGCGTTCATACATATGAAAGTATCTTTAGATTTTTAATAGAATATAGTGTGTTTTGTTCTTAAAGATAATACTCGTATAATAATAAAATTTTAATGACGTTGTTAACTCCAAAATTCAACCTTATAATTTATCCAAACTTAACTTAGAGTAATGTTTAATATTAGGCCTTGATTACCAATAAAACTGTTAAACAATACGTTGAAAGCTCTATAATAGGCAATAAAGAAAACCACTCCAAACCATGGCGGCTTCATTAACTTGTAAATTAATTTGCTTAGTAGGTTTCCAGGTAGTTGTAATTATGATTGATGTTTTGTAAGTTCAATGAAACAAAAAGCCAATTCCACTAATGAGTTTTATTTCGTTATTTATTATCTTTAGCAAACAACTAGCTGTAACCCGTCATGCTTTCCCATGGCAAATTGTGGTTGGATTAATGAATAACAAAACTTATGCAAAACATATAAAAACAATCTTTGAAATAGGTTGCATCGGTTGTGGAAAAACTCACTCGGCTGCAGACAGTCCAAACTGGTGCTGACTCAAGTCACACCACGACTCACCTGCAGATTAATTAGTCTTAGCAGACTGGAAATCCGAATAGTTGTCGCTACTATAACTTGACACCTAGCCCTGAACCGACACCTATTCATCATCAATGCGACGGACAGCCCTCTGTGCAGGGGATGTGTGGAAGCAAAAGAAACGGCCGCCCACGTAGTTATGGAATGCGAGGGAGTGGCCACACAACGGGCAAGTATCATTCCCGATACAAAATCGCTCTTAGAAGCCTGTGAACGCCCCAGAAGGCTTCTGCGCTTCTGGGAGGAGCTTGGTTGGCTCACCTAGCCAACCAGTCCTTGACGCATAAAGGACCACTCTTGAGTCTAAATTCGGAAACCGAAGCCCATAACCAATAGCAGTAACAATAGGTTGTATCGTATGAAAATTGGAGCCCAATCGGTGCAGAGCTTGTTGATCTTTTGAAACATACACAAACCAATTTTTATCTAGATAGACAGATAGCATTCTGTGATATAACACGGTGCTTCAAACAACTAAGCTAAGTTTCGAAATCATAGGTACCATAAAACGAATATACTTAAATATTTTTAAGTT